ATCGAAGTACGGGGCGATTAGAAAAAGATTATTAACGTTTACCAAGAGATAGTACGTTCGTGGTTAGTTGCATTACCTTCAGGAACAGAGGATAGAATATTTCTTTTAAGTGTAAAGTTGGACAATATATTTCTATAGAGTAAGAAAAACTTGAGGATGGAAGTACAGAGTGACTAAAGAAAAATAGTAACATTTAGCAAGACAGAAAATGGTATTTTTGATAGAATATCCGCAGTTAGTTGTATCACCTTCAGAAAGAAATGATAGAATATTGTTTTAAGTGTAGAATTGGACAGAACTTTTTTTTTAGAGTGAGGAAAAATTGAGGGTAAAGATACAGAGTGATTCGAAAGAAATATGTCTCCTTTTCTCTGTGAAAGAAGAAAAGGTTCCAAGAATGTCCAGAAAACGATGCTAAATTTTTTAAAATACAAGTGAAAAAGTCTAAACTTCCACATTTCTTGAAACACCCTATATATCGTATCGCATAAAAACCACTTTACTTTCTCCTCTTTACTAGTCTCCTCCTTGGCAACAGCCTGAACCTGCAGTCCCATCAGCGTCTCGAACATGTTCCTCGTCTCCATGATCAAGCAAGTGATATCAGCGTTCGGGTGTTGACCGAACGCTTCCGGTTTGTCGACGTTCGGTAGCACCGTGATGAAATCATGATACGACGCTAAGGAACCGTCCTTCGGTATGTAATAGGTTGGTAGAGATGATAAACGATAGTGGGGCACAGTTAGGGCCTCCTCCGTGAAATATTGCTGGACGTATGTCATCAATAATCTGCGGTCCCAGTCGTCGGTCACGTGACCACCGTAACAGACACCGGCTATCAGATATTTAAGGGATTCCCATGGTGTCACTGGGTACTCGTCTAGATAAACCTGCAGGAGATTCTCGGATACCTGTTACAGAAGAAGAATAAATCAATCGTACTATTCATTTTATTTAAGGTTTCACATATTAACGGAAAGAACTGTCATTTAAGATAAAAGGAAGGATTGCAGGCAGAAGTGTTTCCAAGTAATTTTGGCAATTTTCAAAAAGAGGAAATCAGGTCGATGGTTTTTGGTTTTCGAACTATGTAGGATGAGAGAGAAGTTTCCCGTGGTTTTTCCAGATATATTTTCATCGAGATATTTCAATCCGTGTTCGTTCAGTCCAATATGGCCGGCTGACATTACCACAAAGTCCGAGTCGTTGAAGCTGTAGACAACGTTCCAGCCCAATTGCTGGAACTTTTTCCGCTCGAGGAGAATCGCGTGGAAGAATACCAGGGCGAAGAGAAGCTTCTTGTACTTGCTCGTCGCATGGCATACCTCGAACTGGATCTCGGTTATCAAGCCGTAAAGTCGCTTCATGT